ACCCGACCTTAACCCTTTAACTCACCAATTCCTTTGCCCAGCTTAGACAACTAACCACTAACTCAACCACCTTTCACTAACATTAACTATAGTGCTACATGACCTTAGATGTCTAGCACATTTATCTTGCTTTTAACCATTAACCATTAACCACACTTCTCTTCTATTAAGACCATCAGAGAACGTACCACCATTATCTTCACCCCATCCTCCGCTGAGTCCTATAATGCTCCTTTTTCTTCCTCTGAACTCAATGCTGCCCTACAATCGTGCCGCAACACTCATGAAGGCCCTGACGGTATTCACTACCGTATGCTCCGGCAACTCCCATATTCCTCCTTATCCTTCCTATAAAAAAAAAAAATTACAACCACATATGGACATCAGGAAATCTTTCTTCAAATTGACGAGAAGCTCTTATCCTTCCCTTCCTGAAACCTAATAAAGCGGGTACCCTCCTTCAAGATTATCGCCCCATCGCACTAACTAGCTGCTTGTGCAAACTATTAGAGCGAATGGTGAACTTCCGCTTAATGTGGTATCTTGAATCTCACAATCTCCTCTCTCCTTTCCAATTTGGTTTTCGCCGTGCCCGAAGCACAGCTGACCCCTTTGCTCATTTTGAGACATATATTACATCCGCATTTGCACGCCTTGAATCCGTACTAGCTATATTTTTTTATCTAGAAAAAGCATACGACATGGTGGTACCATATTCTCCAACAATTGCCCTCTCTAGGCATACGTGGAAACATGGGTGTCTTCATAGTCTTTTTTCTCCCAACGCACTTTCCAGGTCAAAATTGCCTCTGCCACATCATCTTAATTTCCTCAAATCGAAGGTGTCCCACAAGGCAGTGTGCTCAGTACCACTTTATTCCTTCTTGCTGTTAATGATATTGTCTCAGTTTTACCACCAGGAGCCCGGTCATCACTATATGTTGATAATTTAACCATCTATGCCTCTGGCACATCTATACCAAATCTCTACCAATTTCTTCAGTCTGCAATCTCATCAGTTTCTTCCTGGACCACAAACCATGGCTTCCGCTTTTCTACCTCTTTCTCCATCCTTTTATCTCGCACACGTGTAGGTCCCCTACCTCCGCTCTTCTTATATGGCACTCCACTCCAATACCGTTCCTCTGGCAAATTCCTAGGTGTCATTTTTGACTCCAAACTGTCCTGGCGAGACCATATTCTACACATTAAAGAAAAAGCTCTCCGCCGTCTTCGAATCTTAAAAACTCTATCCTATATATCATGGGGCTCAGATCGCAAAACTCTTCTTCATCTTCGTGCTACCTTGATCCTCTCCACTCTTGATTATGGATGCCATATCTACTCTTCTGCCTCAACTTCTCTCCTTGCCCATCTTGATACAATCCATCACAGTGGTCTTCGCTTAGCACTAGGCGCCTTCCGCTCCTCTCCAGTTGAGAGCCTGTACACTGAATCAGGCATACTATCTCTATCTCGACGCCGTGCCCTTCTCTCACTCCGATGTTATGCTCGATTCCATCAATTTTCTCTCACTAAACTATCCTACAATCCCTACTTCCTACCTTAGCTTCTCCACGTTTACCTACTCCTTTCTCCACTTTCTCTCATTCCCCTTTCCCCCATCTCCAACCTCTCTCGTTCTCTGTCCATTCTGTCCCTCCATGGCTTATACCTTACCCCCATATTTGCTCTTCTGTTTTCCCCGACCCACCAAAATCAAATATTCCTCCTGCTGTCCCTCTCACCCATTTCCTTGGCCATGTCTCTACTCATTCCTCCAGTATTCACGTATATACTGATGGGTCCAAATCCACCTCCAGTGCTGGTTTTGCAGTAATCTTCCCAACTCGTACTTTCAAATACTACCTCCCTCCTGAATCCAGTGTCCTTACTACAGAACTGTATGCACTCCTTTTTGCCCTAAAACACATACTCACTCTCCTCTTCCTCTTATACATTTTTTACAGACTCCCGTAACTCATTAACTCTCATAAAGTCAATACACGCCACCAACTCCCTTGTTTGTAAGATCCAGAACTGGCTGTTCTACCTGTCCACACGCCATAAAACAATCAAATTTTGCTGGGTGCCCAGCCATGTTGGAATCCCCGGCAATGAACAGGCAGATACACTAGCACGCTACGCCGCTATGTCCACATCATACCAACCACGCTTCTCAGGTATCCCTGCCACGGATTATTACCCACACTTTAAGACCTTCTTATATAATCGATGGTAATCTTTTTGGTCAAATCTCCGCACTAATAAATTACATACTGTAAAACTATCAATCTCCTCCTGGTCAGCTCCATTTCTTCGGAACAGACGTTGGGAGACGGCTCTCGCCCGCTTACGCCACACTCCTATCTGATATCACAATCCGATCCACCCCTATGTTCCTTCTGTAATGTTCCCCTTTCAATCCCACACATCCTATTGTCGTGCCCACGTTTTGAAGCAGCCCGTACCTCTGCTTTCCCCCACCTATCCTCCCTTCACCGACCTTCCAACCTATCAGACATCCTTACATAATCCCACACTTTCTGCTTCAACAACTTGTTCTCTTTCCTCAAACGAAAACATATCCTTCATCTAATCTAATCCTTTACATTACCACACCCGACCTTAACCCATTCACTCACCAATTCCTATGCCCAGCTTTGACAGCTAATCACAAACTCAACCACCCCTTCACTAACATTTACTATAGTGCTACATGACCTTAGATGTCTAGCACATTTATCTTGCCTTTAACCATTAATCATTAACCATCAGGATAGTCATTATGAAATAAGATAGTATGTCTGATGTGGAAAAGAAGGAAGATGGAGGTAAAAGTACGCCAGTCAGCTATCGAAACACCAGCGTGGAGGGTTGAGGAGCGGGACATTAGAAGTAGGAGAGAGGGGAACAGGGAAGTGATCAATATATGTTACGTGATCCAGAATTGACCAATGAAAGTCGTGATGAAGGGAAGGAGAGCAAAGAGAAAGGTCAAGATATGGAAATCGCCGACTATGAGGAATGGTGGCTGAAGTTGAGAAAGTAAAGTTTCGAAGACATTAAAGCCAATGGAAAGAGAAAGGTAAACTGAAACAGCTGTTATCCAATGGAGAAGAAAGATGCGTATAATTGTGCAAAGGACAGTGGTTTGAAAGTGAGGTATAGTGTATGGTGTTTTTTGGTGGATTAGTATAAATGTGATAGAGTGAGGGGATGATATAAAATGATATTTTGGAATCGGTACTGGAGGATGTGTTAGGAAGGGTTCTTGGAGATATATAATGGATGGATTGTAGGAAGATATGGGATGACGAAAATCAGGTCTATGAGTACGAAAACCCCTGTAGAAGAGTCCTTGTGGATCAACCAACGGGTTTGGGTGAGGTGGTTTGAGAAGCAAAAGATTTTTTATGAGATAAAAAGAAGATAGGCATCTGAGGAATAAAGGATGTAGATGTGGGAAGGGATGTATTTAGAGATGGGGTGGAAACGTTTGAATCGTCTGGTGCGATAGATACGTCGAGGAATAGGGAGAGACATAAGGGTAGTTGTGGATATTGGAGTATCTAGTTTTAGAGTGGAAAAAGTATTCGACTGGGAAATAGTGGAATGGTTAATGGTCAAAAGCAGAATAAATGTGCTAGACATCTAGTTGGGGATTGGTACAGGAGGATATGCAAGAAAAGTCTCTTGGAGAGCTATACTGTTGATCTATGAGTGAGAACAGTTACAGTGCGTATTGGAGAATTTGAAGGGGGAGCTAGGGGGTGAGATAAGGAATGAGAGGGTGTTGTATCAGGTGGTGGAGGGATAGGGAATCACTGCATTTAGCACATATACGTGTTTGTTCTAGGTAAATTGAACGGTCATGACCAGTTTGGGCATAGAGAGGGCTGTGGAGCAACAATGTTTAGCTGGGTGGCCAAAACACTAGCATTTGACATTGACAGGGTGGGGGTTCATATGGTCTGACAGGGTATATTCCTCCAATACAGACCGTATGGGGAAGGTCATGTCTACGGAAGATAATCTTGGCAATATTGATATGGGACTTATAGCGGCCTTTGGGAGGAATAGTGTAGCACTGTACTGATACTGCATTGTAGTTAACGAGGCAGGCAAGTAGGTCTGACCAATCTTTGTCTTAGGGCAATCGGCCAAGGAGATGGAAACAGTTCCAGTACATGTATGAAGGGAGGAGTGGGGTTGGGTAAGAATAGGTTTGCAAGTGAGGTCAACCAGGGTACAGGACAAGGACAGGTGGAGGACAGGTGGACATATGAGGATGAGGGTAATAAGGTTGAAGTTCTAATGAGGGAGGAGGTAGAAAATGAAGATGATTGTGCAGGAGGTGGGTTGAAGGATATTGGTAGTGAGGGAGGGGTATCTTTTGAAGGTCGAGTCAGAACTTGGGCAGATGATTCAGGATAGGTCAAGTTGACAGTTTGAATCAACAAGGGAGGTGATCATGTGTTCAGAGCCTTGATCAAAGGAGAGTCAGGGGTTGGTAAACCAGAGGAGTTATTTCAAGGAGGCTAGTTGATAAAGGGGCAAGTCTCGTTGTGCTAATATGGATACAAATCTTCATTTTTGGACATGGGTGGCCTGGAAAGTGTGGGGAGGAAAAAAGGTCCACCCCTCAGAGTCACACTGGCAGGGTGGACAAGTGATTGGGGGGTTAATAATGTATAACACTATCATGCAGGATATCAAATGAAACCTTTTTTTTTTACTTTTATTTTTACCACATACTTCCAAAAATTACCTCTCATAGAAAATATATGAGAAGCATAACAATTATGATTCACATTTTTTTTTTCAAATTCTTCTAGCATCTTGTAAAAATTGTATAAAGTTGTTAATCTTATTAAAGCTGCAAATTATTTATCTAATATTTTCAGTCAACTAATGGTTATAAAAAAATGTACATTAAAACATTATCTGTAATCATGTACTGATGTAAAACTCTGAACTGATCAGGAAATCAATTAGAGAAAATGTGAAACATTTCTTTTAAATGATTCCCTTTACATATATTATATACTTGTAACTCTTATTACTTCCTTCTGAACATGAATGCTCAAACTTTCATTTTTGTAATTTTTTTTAGAGCTTAGGCATTTTTGACAGGCAACTTGGTAATGACACACTTCACTTCTGTGTAGTTCTGCAGAGCATACTCCGAGTTCTCTCTCCCCTGTCCTGACATCTTGTATCCTCCAAAGGGAGTCTGAGCATTCAAAACATCATAGCAATTGATCCTGAAAGGTGAATGAAGATTTAAGCTTAGATTTCCAGCTGAAATAACTGAAACATGAAGAAAAGAGGTTCTTACCTCATACTGATCTGCAAACCCAAATTGGAGAACCTAATTCATAAAACCATCATCTTGGCATGTTTGCCATTTTTCTTTCTTATAAAGGAGGAAAACTTCCTAACAAAGTACCAGGCAGTTAGTATATCTGAGAGATAACAAGACCTAAAGTTTAATTTTTTCCCCTTTAAACTAAGGTTATACTTATAGATACATATATTTCCTCTACAGGATACTGCTTGGTGAAAGTAGAAATGAGTAAGAATATAAAAAACATTAAATTCAAAGTTACTTTGTACTAATGTTTCTAATCTATTCCAAGATTTCTTTGTTATTGAAAAAAAAACTTTCCAAATGGATTCATCAGATACTATACTATTTTTTAGGGTCTTATCTATAACAAAAATATGACAAACAAAATAAAGAACTGCTAATCCCCCTTACCATACAGTTCCTGCACGCAGCCCTTGAGCAAACATGTTTGCTTTGTCCAAATCCTTTGTGAACACAGAAGCAGCTAGTCCATAAGAAGTATTATTTGCACGCTCAATCACCTCACTGACATCACTAAACTTCATAATCTGTTGCACTGGCCCAAAAATCTGGTAAACAATAAATAAGGATAAATATAAGTAATCTTAAGTTTGCCTTTTTAGAAACCTGTTTTTTTAATGATCCTCACTTGTAGTTACATGAAGAAAATTTTGCAACCAATTTTACTTGAGGAAGTCTGATAATAGCCTCTGAATTTACCCAAAATTTTATTTTAACATTTTCATTATAAGCCATATCCAGAAAATGAGGATGAAAGAGGGAGTTATAAATATATCTCTTAAAAATAATAAATGTAAATCAAGATTTATTTGAGCACTAGATATAGCACTGAAAAAATATCAAATAAATATGGAAGTTCACATAAATAGTACAAAAAATACATAAGCATATTTATAAGGACTGAAAACAACAAAATTCTACACATAAAAATTAAAAGAATTAACATCTCTGCTAAATTTATAGCTTTGTCAAACGCAATTTTCTAAATGTTGAAAGATTCTAAACACTTACTTCTTCTGTAGCAATACGCATATTATCCTGCACATCTGCAAACACTGTAGGAGCAATATAATAGCCTTTTTCACCAACACGGGCTCCTCCATGAACCAACTTTGCACCATCCTTCTTGCCAGAATCAATCATTTCCAAGATTTTGTCCATTTGTTCACCATCCACCTTAAAAGATAGTCAACATCTATCTAACTGTCATAGATCATTAATATTAGCCACTAATTTTATTTAGAATCATCTTTAATTTCATATATAAATATAAAACAATGGTCTTACCTGTGGCCCCTGCTCAGTTTTGAAATCAAAAGGATCACCAACTGTACGAACTTTCGCACGTTCCACACTGCGTTCCACAAATTCATCATAAACTGCATCTTCTACAAAGATCCTTGTGCCAGCACAGCAACACTGCCCCTATAAAGAATTTAAAATTCTTAGCATACAAAGAAACAGTTTCAGAACCTTTCATTAAAAAACAATTTCAGTAATTAGGAGAAATCATGAAAAAATTCACTTCATAACAATTTACCTGGTTAAAGAAAACACCAAAGTGTGATTGCTCAACCGCATAGTCCAAGTCAGCATCTTTAAAAATAATATTTGGACTCTTGCCTCCCAATTCCAGAGTTACTCGCTTCAAGTTGCTAGCACCAGCAGCTTGTTGGATAAGATGACCAATCTAAAGAAATGAAAACAAAATTATGTACAAAACAGATGACATCACTTTGAATCAATGAGAAAGATACCTTCCTATCACATTAAAATACGGATCCTGGCGTACTGGTGACCACTTTCACCAGATCCGTCTTTACAAGGCCTCTGTTCTTAAGGTTATGCATCAAGTAAGATTTTTAAAAATTAATAGCTCTAGTACAAGATATAAGAAATTGATAAATTATTTTGCATAATATTTGAGGACCTCTTTTTAAAAAGGCTCAGCAAGATTTTTAAAAGTATCTTTTAAGTCGCATGCATTAAAACTTCAGCCTAAACAAAACATCAGCCATATTTCTTGTGGTAGATTCTGCTTCCACTTTATTCACAATCATTCTAATCAGTGTATATATATGACATTATATTCTTTGTGGGTGTCACACATGCAGACTTGTAACAAAGGCTTACATATCTAATAATACAAATATTTTAGTTACAGTCAACTTCTTATCATTAACATTTTTCAAAATCAATTTTTAATTAAGTACTGGAGATGGAACGAAAGTATATTTCTGCTTTCAGGAAGGCCAATTTTTTGTTTTGACATTCATAAATGTGAATCTCAAATATTCCAATCCATTCCATGTTCCATAGTTCAAGTACCAGTATCATCGAATCTTTAAATTCTGTAATCAGTGTAATTTCATATTTGGATTGTTCTACATCATTTATAGATATCTGACTTTTATTCCCTTTACTGATTACTTCTGAACACATTTTAAGAGTTTCACCATAGGAAATTGAATAACTAAAATCAAATATGTTCATCTTCCTATGCGTATCCTTCCTCTGCTTATGGCTCACAAAACATCTTTCTATGTGTATCCTTCCTCTGATTATGGCTCGCAAAACAGACTGATAAGAAAGTGATCCATATACATTGGGTTGGAGGGACAGGTTACTTATGATAATTGGTTTTCCCTCAGCCTTCCCTTTCATATAATAAGGCAAATATTTGCATATCTGAAAAAAGAAAAGCATGGATGAAACACCACTAAAAACTGATACCACATACCTCAGTTGATCCTGTAAAGGCTACTTTGTCTACATCCATATGAGAGGCAATTGCAGCCCCAGCAGATGGGCCAAAACCAGGGATAACATTGACCACCCCAGGTGGGAATCCAGCCTCAGCCACTAATTTTGCCACATGCAGGCCAGAAAGTGGGGTCTGTTCTGCTAGCTTCATAACAATTGTGTTTCCTAAATATGACAAAATAACAGTTGTATTAGCACAAAATGTTATGTAAATCCTTGTCATGACAGATTACATTCATTTACAATATATAAAGTTACAATATATCAAAGTTACTAACTAACACAACTAAGGTTATCTTTGTTACAAAATAATATAGAAAGAGACAAAAGAATTCTCATTATACTCAAGCTGGGAGCCAGACATCAAAACACATTTAATGCTATACCCTACCTGTAGCAAGTGCTGGTCCAAACTTCCATGCCTGCATGAGGAGTGGGAAATTCCATGGAATGATCTGGCCACAAACACCAACAGGTTCATGTCGTGTGTATGCAAAGTGAGGGCCATCAGTTGGAATGGTTTTTCCATGAATTTTGTCAGCCCAGCCAGCAAAGTAGCGAAGATTGCGAATACAAAGCTCTAAATCCACCATGACTGAGTTTGTGTAAGGTTTGCCATTATCAAGTGTCTCCAGACTCTGGAAGTCCAAGGAGATATATCATAAATTTCAATGCTTGTAAAAGCTTCAAGTGGAAGTGAAATTGTAATTTCAACATACTTAAAGTAAAAAATAAGAATTCTAACATCACTAAATCCTTTATGGAAAAGGACAATATAAGGTGATATATGATAAACAAAAGCACACATTGAACAAATACAAAAATATGTAAACTAAAGCTAAACTACTCCATTTTGTTGCTAAAAAAAATATCAAGACATTGTTGTTAAACACTATTTAGATATTAAATATCTGTAACCATACCAAATAATGTCGAGAAAAAATAAAATACTTGAGACAAAATTGTCAAAACCAATTGGTGACTACCACTTACAGCAAGGTAGACCCTATCACGCTCCATCAGGTCAGCCAGCCTATACAGCAGCTGGCCCCGATCATAGGCATCCATCTGCCTCCATTCCGAGTTCAGAGAAAAGGCTTTACGAGCAGCCTTCACAGCCTTCTCTACATCGGCCTGTAACACAGGGATTGTCATGATGAGAAACTTATTGAATGGTGAAGTTTATAGAATTCTTACTAAATATAACAGAGCACTAGTATTAATTTCCAATCTAATAAAAACAAATTACTTACTTTATCTCCTTCTTCAACCATTGCAATGACTTCTCCTGTTGCTGGGTTGACAGTTGGGAACTGTCGGCCACTTTCAGCTTTGTGAAATTCATTATTGATGAATACCTTAAAAAGATGTGCAGATTAATAGCCTATGATATGATATGGATCTCATAAGGATGGAATAAGTAGTTGAGAAGAATAGTCAAGGTCATGGACACCAGATGAAATGGCTACATATACTGAATGACCATACTAAAAACTGATTCGGTCTGATAAGCATCTGAGGGAGAAAAGAAGAAGAAAAAAAAAAGAAAAAAAAATCTTCATTTAACGAAAACGTGTTACGTCATCTACTATGATACCCTCCAAGTTACACAAACAAGCTCATTGTGTAATATAGATGCATTCATTATACTGAAAGGTTTGGCTAACTTGTGGACTGACCTTCGAGCGACAATCCTGTAGAACAGCTGCCTTGTCCCACCGCCAACCCTCATGCCCCGGCGTTATCTTTACTTCGTCTCCCTGTATCCAAGCCTACTCGCAATGCCATTCCCATTCCTCTGTTTGAAATCTCGAAGTGTGGGCTAGATAAAGTAACTTCTTAATTCCGTATGTCTTAAGGACCGATGAGCAGCAATTATGAATGCATCATTATGAATGCACCCTTAAATAAATTTATGAAAACAAAAAATAAAAATTCTGGGCCGTCCATCAAACCGGTTGTTTCCCACAAGCTAGCTCTTGGTTCCCCACTGAATCACAAAACCTGTTTCTCAAGTCGTAAACTGTAATTTGATCCAACGTCTATAGTATAATTACCGTATTATAAAACAAGAATGAACATTCATGTCTGCAAGTTACCTATTCGTAGAATTACCGATTTCCGTTATGGCTTTCAAACGTAACTATATTACGACACCACATCTTGTCTATATATAAACGGCTATTAATGATAGTAAGTCAAAAAGCTTTATCCCTTGTTCCTTGTCAGATTACGCTTGTTCCCTGTAGGATTATGCGTGACGCAATCTTTTTACACCGTCCTCCAAATTTTCTGGACAAATTCCAAGCAAAAATATATATATACATACATATTTACACATATATAAATATTGACACATATATAAATACTGACACATATATAAATACTGACACATATATAAATACTGACACATATATAAATACTGACACATATATAAATACTGACACATATATAAATACTGACACATATATAAATACTGACACATATATAAATACTTACACAGATATAAATACTTACACAGATATAAATACTTACACAGATATAAATACTTACACAGATATAAATACTTACACAGATATAAATACTTACACAGATATAAATACTTACACATATATAACTACTTACACATATATAACTACTTACACATATATAACTACTTACACATATATAACTACTTACACATATATAACTACTTACACATATATAACTACTTACACATATATAACTACTTACACATATATAAATACTCATATATATACATATATATACATGAACCGTATTCATGTTGACAAATGTAGAAAAGGTATAAATGAGAATGAGTATCTTCACAATACAAGAGATGTATTTGACCTGTTTCGATTATATCTTCGTCAGAAATACATGTATTTCTGACGAAGATATAATCTGACGAAGTTATATTTCTGACGAAGATATAATCGAAACCGGTCAAATACATCTCTTGTATTGTGAAGATACTCATTCTCATTCATACCTTTTCTACAATATATACACATATATACACACATATATATATATTATATATGTATATATATCTATATAAACTTATTTCTTTAATATACATCTCTCTCTCTCTCTCTCTCTCTCTCTCTCTCTCTCTCTCTCTCTCTCTATATATATATATATATATATCTATATATATATATATATATATATATATCACAAGCGACAACAGTTTCCTGTTCCCCCAAATATCTTAACAGATAGAAGTCTGCAGCATCCTTTTACTTTCTTGTTTATTGTCAAACTTTAAGACTGCCTATGAATGAATCCTAATCCCCGCATTTCCCGCACGAAGCACAACTTCCTGATAAAATTGATCTCTTGAATGTGACTTTCAAGCATGACTCTTCTGCGAGATCCACTTGGCAACATGTGGTGACCTTGATAACTGGAGTTTTACTACACTCGTTGTTTTGTTTCTTTCTAGTTAGTGTGCTCACTATCAGAGTCATCTTATCTTTATGTGACCGGCTTTCCCAGGAAAAAATATTACAATTCTCATAATTACCTACCTATCCTTACATACATAAGTAAACGTTTTCCAGAACAAGCTCATCGAGAATTAATTACGCGGCAACTTTGAATAACATGCAAAAATATATTCGATATCAAAATAAAAGTCACTCCGTAAATGACAGGCTAATGCGTAAACCTAAGACCTATGTTTAACCCCTCAAAGGTTACTGCCATAATGAATTTTCGACATGGAGCAATATACGTCCGACCTCTAGACTTACCACAGGGGGAAGCGACGGGAGTTTGAAAATGTAAAGATTATATTCGCGGGATTTATCATTGGATTATATTATTCAAAATATGGCAATATTCCACACGCAGGAGCTATTAGTAAATCTGAACGATCATACTATATGGTCAACAGAAAATATTTTGCTAGCATAAGTAAACGGAGGTTAGCTAGTCGAAAAAATTACATCTTACACGCTTTGCCACGCCAACTAGAGCTCTATAACTGCAATATATTAAACGGATACTCCATTAATATGTTTTTACGATGTCAATAATTATTCATGTTGATTGTCCCAGACAATCCAAAATATACTTATTACACAGAGAAAGTTGTAGTTTCATAGCCATGTAACACAGGTAAAAATTGTCTGAAAGGGACATAATGACCGAAATACTTTTCAGCTGTGGAACTACCTTCGTAAGCTGATAATAATGATAATAAAAAACGTTTTACTTTGGTATACATTTACAGGGAAATGTAATGACACTACAATAATCAAAGAGAAACACTACACTCACTAACACATGAAATGCTCTGCGTAGAGAAAATATAATGTCAGAAATGAAGTCCACGGCGACTGGGTGGGGGCCCTGGAGTGGAGGCCTTGGGAGGGAAATACTACGATCGGATAGGGGAATGGGGGCGAAGACACCGGGTTAGGAAGGTTTTTGGTTCATACGGCGATGTTTGTAGATTTCCCAGGAATGGCTGGAGCAATAGACTTGATCTCAGAGAGGCAAAGTCACTTCATGAACGCTATTAATATTTTCATTTATATCATTTGCGACGAAAAATAACAAGTGATTCAGGCATATTGCAGCGGTGGCAATTAAGAGAAGGAATAATAATTGCAAAAATTTATGGTTGTGTAAAACTAAAATAATACCTACCTAGCCACTTCGCTTTTTACTAGTCCTTTTTCTTACCCCTGTATAGTGTATGTCGGGCGATGTAATCGGTTGTGGAATAGCAGCATTCGAAAAAGCTGCAGCAGTTGGTATGTTATGCTTTGAAGCTGCCCTTATCAAAGCAGTACGTTGCAGAATGGAGCGCAACATCTTGAAGCAGTAGCTGTACCTTTCCTGTTCTCGCCTCGAGAGCCAATAGACTCTACAACCCGAATCCGAGTGACGTTGCGAGCCTCAACAAAAACAGTTGCCAGCTACGGTTTTTCACAAAGCGGAATATTACAGCATCGTTATAACCAGCAGAATAACCTACTCCCTCGCGTCTTAACTGGACTTATAAGCTAGTGCATTCATGAGTCGTAAATATTTAAATTGTCAACTCTGACCAAGGAAAATGCAATTTGTTGTTCTGAAATTCTTAATTGCCAACGGCATTTTCATCTGTTATGTCGGTAACCGAAATTTACATTTTTCTGATAACGGTTATCAAGATATTCTGAGTATGATAAGCAAATCATGTAATCAAATCTGTACTATATATGCAAAAAACAAGCTTCCTGATAGATATCCAATATTCGCTAAGGGAGGAAGGGAGGGAGGGAGGGAGGGAGAGAGAGAGAGAGAGAGAGAGAGAGAGAGAGAGAGAGAGAGAGAGGAGAGAGGAGAGAGAGAGAGAGAGAGAGAGAGAGAGAGAGAGAGAGAGAGAGAGAGAGAGAGAGAGAGAGAGAGAGAGAGAGAGAGAGAGAGAGAGAGAGAGAGAGAGAGAGAGAGAGAGAGAGAGAGAGAGAGAGAGAGAGAGAGAGAGAGAGAGAGAGAGAGAGAGAGAGAGAGAGAGGAGAGAGAGAGAGATAAGGCATTAGTCGGCCTGTGCTGACTAATGCCGACTCGCTAACGTGTTCTGTTTGCCCCCATGACTACAGTTTTTAAATATTATACTATACTATACCAATATAGTCAGGTTATAGTTTTAAAATGCCCCTATTTTTTAATAATTTTTGTTCACTTCGTTGGCCTGCTTATCCCCCACCACCCCACCCGCAAGAAAAAGCTGAAATTACTCACCTGAGAGAGAGAGGGGAGGGGAAGAAAATTGAGAGAGAGGGAGGGAGATGAAAGAGGGCAGGGGTGTCAGAGAGAGAGAGAGAGAGAGAGAGAGAGAGAGAGAGAGAGAGAGAGAGAGAGAGAGAGAGAGAGAGAGAGAGAGAGAGAGAGAGAGAGAGAGAGAGAGAGAGAGAGAGAGAGAGAGGAGAGAGAGAGAGATAAGGCATTAGTCGGCCTGTGCTGACTAATGCCGACTCGCTAACGTGTTCTGTTTGCCCCCATGACTACAGTTTTTAAATATTATACTATACTATACCAATATAGTCAGGTTATAGTTTTAAAATGCCCCTATTTTTTAATAATTTTTGTTCACTTCGTTGGCCTGCTTATCCCCCACCACCCCACCCGCAAGAAAAAGCTGAAATTACTCACCTGAGAGAGAGAGGGGAGGGGAAGAAAAATTGAGAGAGAGGGAGGGAGATGAAAGAGGGCAGGGGTGTCACGTGGAGGGGGGGGGGGGCAAATATCTTCTCCCCAAGATCCTGTTTGCCCCCTTCACGGTCTAGCTCCCCCCCCCCTCACCACATTGGTCATAATTTTTTACTTATTTTAATACATCTGTGGAGGTCCAGTTGTACATTAAAAATGCATATAATAGTTATTTTCTTTATATTTTATTCGCTTCGCTCGTCTACCCACTCTTGCCCCACCCCCTTCTCCCCCAAGAAAAAACTGAAATGACGCCCCTGGTTAAGGGTAGGAAATAGGGAAGGAGAGAGAGGGGAGGAGCAGGAGGGAAGGAGAAAAGAAAGTGGGGAAAAGGGAAGAGTAAAGGAGAAATATATAAATATATATATACATATATATATATATATATATATATATATATATATATATATATATATATATATATATATATATTATGTATATATATATATATATACATATATATATATATATATTTATTTATATATATATATATATATATATATATATATATATATATATATATATATATATAGACATATATATATGTATATATACCTATGTATATGTATATACTTACATATACATATGTATATATACATATAAGTATATATACATATATAGATAGATAGATAGATAGATAGATAGATAGATAGATA